ATTAGACGGCAAGAAGTGGCAGTCTTCAGAGCAACAGGGCGAATTTTTAGGAGAGCACTCCATCCCAGCTTTCAAAGTGCAGTTCGTATGGCAGCACCTTGAGTAAAATGAAACAAAAAAAGCGTTCCCCAAAGCACGGTATCCACACAATAAAAGTCGTTTGAATTCAAAATCAACAAATTTGGAGAAAAAAATTCACTTATCATCTCCCCATAGCTTTCCTCCAACATCACATTCTTCCATCACCATATCATTTTTTTCCACTCGGCCATTACCACAAAACGAACTTCTCTCTTCTTCGAAGCACTTGTAAGATTTATGAGCCAATACCTTGCCGATCATAAGTTTAGAACATGGTGAAAACTTCTGAATAAAAATGAAACTACTTATAAAAAGCAGGACATCTTTTTCGGAAAAAAACATTCGTTTATTCATTTTGAACATATTTTACTTAGTTGATACCTCTGCAGAAAAATAAACAAATATGCTCACATAATTATTTTCATCGTATCCCGAAACTGAATAAACGCTCATTATATACGGTCCTCCTTGCCTATAAGAGGGACTACAATCTACACCTTTATCGTCATGCGTTGCGCCCCAATTGTGCCCAAGTTCTACAAATCTGCTAATCAAAAATAGTTAAACCGTAAACAAGCAAAAAAGCCCAGTTCAATGAAAAAAAATTAAAAATCAACCATGAGCAGTAACCAAATCAGCCTCGCGAGAAACTATTACTCCAGTCTGACTTCCACGAGCGCTGGAAAGACCTGTATTGTGCGAAAATGCCGTAGAGCCTGGTGCCAGTGACTGTAATAACAAATACAAATTGTGCAATCCTATATAACACTCCATAAAGCCATGTGAGTATATAATATGCTTTCATACCTCTAAAGAACATATCCCTCCAAGGCGAGACGAGTTTGGCGAAGATATATATGCAAGCCCTAACACATTGTTCTCAAATGAATGAGCTGTAAAAAGGTGGACAAGACAGAATTCCTGTCTGCCTTCAGCTTTCGAAAATTCCTGAAAGAAGAGAGGTAATGTAATAAAAAAATAACCGGGGAATAAAGGTGAACAAAGTTGGAAAACGCTCTAAGAAAAGTTGTAGCAAAAAATTGATTCTGAATCTGCCTCCTCCTAGATATAAAATGAAAAATTTACGAGTCTTCTTTGCGAAACGAAAAAGTCAAGAAATAAGTGAAAGCTTGTTTAAGCAAAGGACACAAAAGCTCATTTACTTCTAGAAGCTTATTAACGTTCACGACGTCTCCCCTTCGATGCCTGTTGTAATGTCCAACCTTAGAACTGACCGATGTATGTATTTTCATATCCTTTATCATAAATCCCATGTTAACAAGTCTTCTATTATCTCGATCACGGCCCCAGTCAACACGTGTAAATAACGTGTTTATGCGGTCAATAACATTGATCTAAAAAGACAACAGATTTACCTTCCATAAATAATATTGCTTGCACTAAAAATTGTTTAAGCAAAACTAGTAATTCTTGAATTAAATCTTACTATATACCGCGATGTAAAAGCAACGCTTTTGTTGCCTACAGCCTCGAAAAACGAGTAGTCAGCAACAACACGTAATGAACACCTAAACAAAAACCTGGTGTATGTTAAGAAAGCAAAAATAAAAAATGAATAATTTAAAAAATTCTAATAGTGTTTGGAGTTTTTAAGTAATTTGATATAACATAAAAATTATCGTCGGACGTTGGTATAATAGTTTGACAATTAAAAGAGCTCAGTTATAATACCTGTTCTTTGTAACGACCTCATCCTTCTCGTCGCCTCCCTCAGAAGCCCGTCTCAGACGGCTGTTCGGGTGAAATACAAGCTGGTCCGACGGAGATATTAGAGGTGAACAAAACTGTGGCATGGTCCTAACATAACGGCTTTTCATATCTGACGTCCGATAAATAAGGACATCTTCAATACTGGCATCTTGCTTAAATTACTTCAAAATTTAGCCACCATTTTGATAAAAAGCCATCCCCTTTCCCCCCTCTCCCCTAAAAAAAAGAAAGCTAACTTTAAATGTAATGCAAAAAGCAAAAAAATGTAGTAACTTATTCGGAAAAGCTTAAACCAGATCATACAAAATACGAAATATCGGTTGAAAAACAACGGAGAACAAAAAATGAGTAAATACCTTATGAAGTCTAGCAGGTTCTAAACCAAATGTTTCTCCATCAAACCGAAATATACCAAGAACTGCTCCGTATTCGTCAAATGTAATCGACACAGCAGATTCATTAGTACCTATGAAAATTTCTGATTACAAAACGCTTGCATACTCAGCACCTATCAATTATATCGCAATTTATTGTACACCTCACCAAATCCTCAACTGTTTGCACTTCATCAGATGGTTTTACCAGCTACATAAGAGCTGCATCAGGAAGTAGAACTCTTTTTTCATCTTTCATTCTCTAATTGCTTCTGTTCAGAAGTTTTTCAGAATAAAAGAAGCCAATAAATAAATTAATATAACAGCTATAAATGAAAACAGCTATCAACTACGCAAGCATACCATAAACATGTCCCTCATAATGTTCGTCTGGATTCAACTTTTGAAAACGCTCTTTGCCAGTGGCAGAAATTTCACGTGAAATAAATTGTGGATGTAAAATACCCTGTTTCGGGGTCACATAAATTACAAAATTACGTCCGAAAGCGCTAAAATACTTGATATAGTTGGCATTAATCCTAAGACATTCAAGTTAGTCTGTTGAACAGCAGAGCCCTTTTTCACTAAAGTAATTTTTTATCTTAAAAATA